GACTACATTTTTATATATATATATATATATATATATATATATATATTAAAAAATCATTTTCTTTTAACAAGTTTGCAAAAATCCCAAACCTCACAGAAAAAGAAATAATAAATAAACTCTGATCAACATTTTCTGAAGGTTAAGCATTTATATATATAAAAAAAAAAAAAATATGTCTAACACATGCATATATAGTGTTTAGATTCCCTGCAGCAGTTTAAGTTTGCTAATGCTTTGATTTAGTTTGGCAGAATCTGTAGTTCTGTGGCACTTTCACACTTAGCCCTAATGATTAATTTAGAATGTTTTTTTTTGCCACATTTGCCCTCTGGCCCTTCTTTTCTTGTTAATGAGGAGTGAAAAATAGTGAGAAAGGGAGGAAGCAAGAAGGAAGGATGCAGTTGCTGCAAGTAATATGGTGTGACATGATGGTTGTTCTCCTTTGATTCAGTATAAATTGGATTCTGCTTCTAACAAGATTTATCAATACCTGCAGACACTGTCATAGCTGCCAGTCAAATTCAGATACAACTTAAAGGGGTCATATGATGCTTTTTAAAGATCATTATTTTGTGTATTTGGTGTAACAGAACGCACACACACACACGCGCGCGCACACACACACAATGCGCAAAACTCCGCATTTGAACTGTCAATAGCAAATACTTAATCTAATAACAAAACAGAAGCTGATTCAGAAGCGGCAGATTGTCATAGCAAAGTCAGAATTACCTCCTCTCCTAGGTTCACGAAACGGTCGTCCATAAAATGCATTGCTGTTCTGTTGTAAGTGATCTTAAAGATTCCTAAATGCATCTACTTTCGGAAGGCCAAATAAAGTGCTTTTGCTTTCGCCTAGAAACACACAGCGTCTCCCTGACATGGCTGCTTCAACACTAACTGCGGTTACTGAAACCACGCCTTCTTTCTTTGCGTGCACATTTGGGCGGCATTATACTAATATTTCCACATAGGGACCTAGATATGTGGGGGCGTGTTAGAACGAGCCGTTTTAGGGGGGCGTGGCAGAGTCTTAACTTTGATAAAGAATATCTCTTTGGTTTTGAGACTTTAGTCGTTGCAACTTCAGGGAGCTTATCTATGCACAATCAGCTTGTAACACTCCAAAGAGAAAGGAAAACTTGAAATCGCATCATATGACATTTTTGAGTGGAATACCACACATAAAACTTGGAAACTTTAGATGATTTTCCCCTCCAGATTTGCCTGTGATGCATACATACATTTCTATCTAGGAGCAGATGAAACAGTAAAGGCATGTCTTTTTAAGATGAGGACCCTTGAAGTGCTTAACTAGATCAAATGAAATCCATAGCGATGGAATGGCTAGAATTGAAAAGGCACATTTAAATAAAGGATAACAAATAAGAGATTCTTTTTTTATCAAGCTCCCATTTGCATGGATGCTTTATAACATGAAACGTCAGAGTGCAGTGAAGAGTCAGTAGAGAGTTGGAGGTTGAATCGGATTGTAACGGTCAGTGGCAGTTCTGACATTATGCTGGTGTTATTTTCAAAGTTCTAAGTCCTTCATCTCTACTATACAGATCAAAGGCTCGTGGTCTGGAAAGAACCGTGTGCAGAACCCATACAGCCATAAGAACATCATTGAGAACTGCTGTGAGGTTCTGTGCGGCCCTACTTACCCCAGGTAGGAACATTTAATGTAGTTTTGCTTGTATACAGGGGTGCCACAAAGTGGTGTGGCATTGCATAAGATGACAAACTTTGAAAACCTGCCATGTGGTTTGATATTTTGTTATATGTAATTCAGGAAAATGCTGAATGATCACAGGATCATATAACGCTGTCTTTCTCTGTCCTGCTAGTGTGTTGGATAGAAGAGGGGTGATGCTGGAAGACTCGACTAGCCCCACCCCCTCTGATGCGTCTGCTGCTTCCACCCATAAGAGCAGCAACCCTGTTTCACAAACCACAGTAAGACAGCATTTTTTAATGAGTGTTTGAGTGAACGAGTGAGTGTTCATTTGGCTGAAATATTGCTGGCTACCGTACTGTGCGTTGAGTAGTGAGTCTGCAAGAAAGATCCTAAATCAATTACCCTAAGAGCTGAGAGTGTTAGAAGGCCAGGAAAAAGAACCATGTGGAGTAAATGAATGCATTAAGCGACAATACACAGGATCATGGATATTTATATGTAACTTGTTATACAGTGTGTGTGTGTGTGTGTGTGTATGTGTATGTGTATATAATGTGTGTGTATATTTGAAAATGTGTGTATAAACTGAAATTAAGAGTATATTACATTTTAAAATGCTCAATCAGATTAGTTACTTTTTATGAATTACAAAATCACATGATTTGGGTGAAAAAAAGTACCTCAAGCAATTAGACAATGTATGAATAATAACATATAAAAAAAACAATAAAAATAACATTTTAATTAAAATGTATAGAATAAATCTTTATTTTTGTTACTAGTACTAATAATCCTAAAATAAATTCAAAATAATAGTTATTTTTGAATTATATTATGTTCTCCCACAGAACTATTTAAACTCTTTTTTTTTATTTTTTTTATCTTTTTTATTTTATTTTCTTCTCTTTCAACTAATGTTACACTGACGGTGTTTTGCATAATTATCATAATTATCATTATCCTTCTCTCTCTTGTATTAAGACACCTAAGCTTGAAGATTTTTGTTAAACAAAACAAAATTGAAATCTTTCCAAGTTCCCTCTGAACCCTGCTAAGCACCCACTGGGTACATGTACCCCTGTTTAGGAATGACAGCACTGACACTCCTTGACTGCTAACGATGTGTTTGCACTTCCTGCAGAAATCCTCAGCTCCCCTGATTCCCAATGAACATACCCCTGATGAAGCCAAGCCCAGCATTGGTGCAGGCACCCAGAAGAGCACCAGCTCCCCTAAAGAAGAGAAACCCCCCTCGCCAACATCCCCTAATGCTGTCGCCCCTGCAGTCATCAAAGAGTCGGCCCACTAGCTTTGAAAAAGCCTTCTTCTGCAGACTTCTCTCAACCCTCTGAATGTGCTCACTTAAAGGGACACACACAGAAAACTTGTGACTCGTTCAGAGCAGTGGTCTGTGTTCTCTGATACTCTTTCTCAGAACGGGACCCCTTCTGCCTGGATCCTGCGCTAGCACTCGAGACAAGTTCTGGAGGTCTTGAGACTCTCCTCTCTGAATCACAGCATGATGAAACTCACAATGAGGGAAATGGGGAGCCACAGACTGAATCGAATGAGAATGGGCTACCCTGAAGCATAATGAGGACATTATTTCCCTCGTAAGAGCTCGTAAAATGTTCGGTTGTTTTTTCAGTGTCATTACCCGTTTCTGTATAGCCTGCCTCCATTATTCCTAAGCATTTGTGTGCCCTGTAAAACCCATTACTAGCTTCTATAGTAGTTGTGCAAAATGCCCTTTGTATTAGACTTCTTTGTTTTCAAAGTGTGATAAGGAAAAGTGCTTTAGCCATAAACTTACATTTAGGCCCAACAAAACTGCTTTATTCTGATGACGGGGCCATTTGGATAAGCTTAGTAAGTCAGTTATAAATCTCATTCAACTCGATGTCAAAACAGAAAGTTAAGCTCAGACTTGATTTTACAATCAGCATGGATGGTAGAAAGCAGAGGCTGTAAGATGTTTGTGTCAGTGAGTACAGGCCGATCTGCATCAGTAAGAGTGCCTTATCTATGCTCTACCATTATATCTACAGAGGACTCCATAATGCCCTAAATCTACTCATACCTGTAAGTTAATCAACTTCATTTTTATACGACGCTAACGATCTGTCAGAATGCAAAAAAGCCATGGAGTAAATGTACATCATGTAAAAATGACTGAGAAGCTGCAAATACCTTATAAGTGGAAAAGCATGCCTGATTTATGACTATTATTTTGATCTTATTTAACAAGGTTTTTCCACATCCACCTGACATATGAGCAAACTTTCCTTTTTTCCTTTTCACTAAGAGTCAGATATTACTACTCAAGGCAAAAGTAAATGGAAGATAGTTTAATTTACATCTTTCCTGAGTCTAGGCATGGAAAAGTCCAGTCGACCAATTCTCCTTCAGTGTCATTTAAGCATGCTTTTGCATTCAATTTGCATTCAATTAAGAAATTGTGCTTGTTTTTCTTTTTCCACTTTCTTTTCACCATGTTTAAGGTAGCAAAGCTTGCCCCAGTGTATAAGCGAATGTGTATTGTAGTCACCGTTACTAATTTCACTGTAGTATGTTGAAGGCCACTTGTAAGGGAACACTTTATGGACAGACCTACAGATATCAGGGACCTATGGACTCGTATATTTTTACATGAATTCTCATAGCCAGCTACACATTTGTTTCAGAGAAGTAAACAGGGGCAGTATTGTTGTGTGGAAAGTTTAGAAGTGAACCAAGAACTTTGTCTCCGTTTGATTCATTTGGAACAGCCAGCTTTATAATGTTGCCAGTTCAGTGCCATCTCACAGCAGTTTCAAGTATATAAGATGGAATATTTATGAGATTGATTGGTTTGATTGTTATTTCCTTTACTGATGTTGAAGAATGTGTTGAGGGTAAAAGTCCTTTATTGCAGGAAATGTAGTTCTTCAGAAACCAACAGACTGTGCTTCTATCAGATCATGTTTAAGTTACAGCAGATGGGATTTTTGTGAGTACTGTGGTGTGAACAATTGTGATGATTGATTGTGTGTGTATGGAAGATGTGAATATTAATTTGCTAGGCCGAAGGTAAATGGGAATGTGCTTAAAACTGCACTGAATGAATCCCACTTTTTTTACAATCATGAAACATGTCATAATATACTAATTTACTAAATGAGGTGCAACAAAATCAGAAACTTTAATGCCAAGTCGGTGTAATGTATAAGTTTGGAATATTAGCAAAAGATGGTCTGCTCTAGATATTTGGATGCGATGCATAACGTACACATTATACATCATCACGAATTGAGTTATGTTCACTTTGCTTGGTAATAACACTGTGATCATGTATATCCTCGTATTCTTCACTTTCTACTTATGAATTTGTGTGTATATGTATGTTCATTAAATTATATGGTATTATTACAATCTCTTTGTGGCGTAGTTTCTTTTTCTTCGAGAACACAGACAAAACTAGCAGAAAAAAAAACTGTGAAAGTATAGACATTAATATAAATGACAAACGGAAGGCTAAAACGGAATACAATCAAAACAACAATGGCTTTGAAAACATATTATAACAACTATTACCATAAACAGGAACCAAAACAGAAGCAAAATAAAACTGAACAATGTGCTTTTCCTCTTTCATGCCTGACAAAAAAAAAAAAAAAATTTTTGAGCGCACCAATTGTGTTACTCTATACATTCATTCCAGCAGAAACCATAGAACAGTAGTAAATAAAATGCTACTTCATAGCTAAAGGTATGATGATGAAACTTCTCAGATATTAGAGAATCACAGTTCGGTCATGCACATCAACGCTTTACCAGAAAAAATGGCTTAAATATTTAACCTAAGTGGAGTAAAATCAATATTTGGGGTACCAGCATTCTTCTTATTTTAAGATGTAATAACATAGCCGTAGGTTTAATCCATGGAATATGACTTCATGCAGTCTGTTTTTCAAAATCCTACAACTTTGTTTCAGTTTCCAGATTTTTTGGGTCTTCCTGAACAATAATCTCAGCGAGAATAAATGATGGTACCTTCAAGATCTCTATACCATCTTCTAAGAAGACCTATTGGCTTCTGTAGTATGGGCTGTGCATATCAAAGTTTTTTTTCATGAATTTAATCCAGCACGTGGATATGACACTCTCCATCAGAGAGATCAAAAGAACATTCTGGTGGCTTCACTCTGTTGGGCTCTCAGGACTCTCCTCCACCTTCATCTCCTCCAGTTGTTCCTGAATCGCATTGAGCTTTGTTTCTGTGTCCGGATCAGTCTCCGGCTCCGGTTGGGATTCCACCTGGGGCTCCTCACGTCCGTTTGCCAGGTTCTCTGTGCTTTCGTAACAACCCGAGTCCCGTGGCATTTCAGTCTTTTGCTCCTCTGCATCGGATTCGTCCTCCGCTGGAGAGCAGAAAGGATGTTAGTACATCAAACAGACTGCAAATTATAAATATATAATGAAACAAACAAGAAAAAAAAGGCTAGACTCGATGGTTCTTTAGTGGACTTACAGTCGTGAAACAATTCTGTTGCTTTCAGTATCTTCACACGTTGCTCGGGGTCAGTAATGTTTAGTTCGTTCATATGGGACTCCTTCAGACCTCTGAAATCCTCCAAACTCTGGAAGCCGTGCATGGACAGGAGAGATCCCAGCTCCTGAGCAAACAATGAAATCAGTCAGATCAGATCCTATTGTACTGTGATGTAATGGCCCACATGTTTAAGAGAAAGTAACTTGAGGCTTACAGTTAGGCCTATTCTCTCCAGAACTTCCTCCAAGGTTTGTGGTTTGGACTTGTTCTTGCGTCCTTGACTCCGGCATCGCTTCCTCTTTGGTGGTGTGTCCTCCTCTGGTAGTATTGTGACGTAGATGAATTTAAAGGAGCCCACTTTGTTGTTGAGTTTACCAGTCCAGGTGCCTACTGGTGGTTTCTCAATGATCTGGATGATGTCTCCTTTCTGTGTGTTTTGTAAAATGTCAGTGCACTACATACAATATACATGCTGCACACACTAATTTTTTTAACCCCTTCAGACCTGAATTTTTTTCACGGAACAAAATGTTTTTTAATCCACTTGATATTTGCTCTTCTCCAATATAGAAACAAGTCTAAAAAAAACAGGATTTGTGCCAACTAATTTTTAAATTTGTTACATTAAGTGCTTGCTTTTCTTATATAGGCTGCTAGTATGTTAGCTTATTTAGAAAATAAAAACTAAAATAAAAATTAGAAATCAGAAAAATTTAATCTGTTACATTAAGTGTTTTTTTTAGGTAGTTTGTTAGTTTACTTAGGAAAATAAAATAAACCAAACTGCTAAAGTAAAATAAAATAATAAACATTTATAGCAATATTTATGGGACTGAGATATTTTAACAGGATTTTAAATGTAACATTTTATAATAGGGTTCAATTAATTTATATTAATCAATGCATTAGGTATCACTAACAAATAATTTGACAGCATTTATTAATATAGTTTAATGTTAATTTATAAATGCAATTAACCCAAAACATTACTGCTCTAGAGGAGATCTGCATGGAGGAATGGGCCAAAATACCAGCAACAGCGTGTGACAACCTTGTGAAGACTTACAGAAAACGTTTGACCTCTGTCATTGCCACCAAAGGGTATATAACAAAGTATTGAGATGCAATTTTGTTATTGACCAAATACTTATTTTCCACCTTAATTTGCAAATAAATTCTTTAAAAATCCTACAATGTGATTTTCTGGATTTTTTTTTCTCATTTTGTCTCTCATAGTTGAGGTATACCTATGATGAAAATTACAGGCCTCTCTCATCTTTTTAAGTGGGAGAACTTGCACAATTGGTGGCTGACTAAATACTTTTTTTCCCCACTGTATAATTGATCAAATTGGATGTGGAAATACTAAAACATCTGAAATGATAAAAAAATATATTTTATGTAGCGATTAACATTAACCAAGGTTAATAAGTGTTTATTGTTAATTCATCATTGACTCTATTGTACTTTAGACTTTCAACTCACCCCCTCTGCAAGGGCTTTCTGTACCATCTTGGAGGTTTTACGGGTCATTGTGCGAGTTATGACATTTCTCCATTTCTTTCCCAGTTTCCCGTTACTTTTCCCTGAATCCTCCGGTGGTGCATCCTCCAGCTGCTGAAAGAAATTTCACAAAAAATTATGCTGTTTTTACTGAGCAACTAATTTTGTCCTCTCGACTCATCAAACTTCCTCTTGTCTAAAAAGGTCTACAGGCAATGAATAATTGTTGCTATGCTGCTGGCCCTCATAGACTTGTTGTCCTGGCTCCATCATTAAAGAAACTGAGTCAGACTTCTGTTAGAACTTACTGCCTTGATTTACCTCAAGTAACCTTTGTGTTTTTAATTACTGATTGCAGAACTCTTTGATGTGTTTTTCATAACCCATTTGTAATGTGCCCTGTTATGTTCAGAGGTTTGCCCTGGCCGAGCTGAATCAGCGCGTATTTGTTTGTGACATAACCTCATTATGAGCAGTGTTAGTTTTAAAGCGATGGGCCCCTGTTCTCAAGAGGATTTCCAGTAAAGTCTGTGACAGCGGTTTTTGTGTCTCTAGCCACAGTGAGTCAGTGTGACTCCTCCTCTCTGAGCTCTGAGAGAAATGTCACAGGCTCTTCCTTTTAGGACAACATGTGCTGTTATCAAAGAAAAAAACAACAACAAAAGTACCTGTCGACGTCAAGGGGATTTTACATTTGTCTGTTACATTACTTTTGTGTTTATACCTCAGCACTTCAGGTAACTCTTGCACAGAAAGCTATCCCATGCCATTCAACACTTTCGATATTGAACAGGAGACTGTTTTAACAACCAAAAAATATATTAATATTTATTAAATTATGAATGAATCAGAAACAAATTTTTGATTAATTAATTTGTTTGTTAAAACAATGTTTTATTTGAAAAATATATACACATAAAAGAAAAAAAAAAAAAGAAAAAAAAAGAAGTCTCTTATCCTCACCAAGGCAGCAATTAGTTAATCAAAAATACAGTAAAAATTTAGTATTGTACAATATTATTACAATTTAAAATAACTGTTTTCTATTTGAATATATTTTAAAGTGTAATTTATTCCTGTGATGGCAAAGCTGATTCTCATTCCTCATTCTAATATGCTGATTCGCTGGCCAAGAATTTTTTTTTTAATTCTCAATATTTTTATTATTTTTTATTATTATCAAAATATATTATCAATATGTTGTGCTGCTTAATATTTTTGTGGAAAAAAACATGATACATCGTTTTCAGGATTCTATAAGGTTTCACAGAACAGCATTTATTTGAAATCTTTTGTAAGATTTTGTAAAATCATTTTTATGTCCTTAATAAAAATATATATATCTTGTTGACCCCAAAACTTTTGAACTGCAATGTATATAAACATAAATTAAGAGTTCATTTGCAAAAACAGATAACTGTTGTTTAAATGTCTAAAAATCATGTTTTTTTTTATCCTGCATTCCAATTAATATAAATCAAACTGCAGTTGGGTTGTTTTTATTAAATAATAATAACTAAAAGAAATACAGCAAACTAACACAATAAAGATGACAATAAAAAAAAGCATGATTTATGAAAATTTATAAAAATGGAGTTATCTGTTTTTGCAAAAAAACTCTTCAAATATAAATATAAATGTGCACAAATGCATCACAGTTGCTCTGCATAAAATAGCACAATTGTCTACTTCTCTGAAAAGCAGACAGAAGGCTAAGCAGGCTCTTTGCTTGGATGGCTCATGAAAGGATGACATCCTGTCTAGATATTTTTAAAACTGTGTGGCTTTCAAATGAAACTGTTATTAAGCATCATTCTGGCAGTTTGGGTTAAGGTTAACTGTGACTTGGCTGTTGTTTTTTCGACACAACTTCACACTATCCAATATTTTGATAATCATGAGACAGTAGTACGTTGGTGCTTGAGTATGGCAAGTTCATCTCTATAGTCAAACGGATAGTTCACCAAAACTGAACATTGTGTCATGATTTACTCACCCTCAGGTTGTTCCAAACGTTCCAAAAAAAGATATTTTGAAAAATGTTGGTAACCAAACAGCTGATGGAATCATTTGACTTCCAACGTATTTTTTCCATTCTTTGCCAGTCAACTGACAACTGTTTGGTCACCAACATTCTTCAAAATATCTTCTTCTGTGTTCAACAGCTGAAAAGAACTCGCACATGTTTGGAACCTGTAGGGAGGTACGTAAATGACAGAATTGTCATTTTTCGGTGAACCATTTCTTTAAGAAACTACTGCACGTACCGTTTCATCCAGTGTAGCCTCAGAGCTCACTATGGGTGCCGACGGCTTTGGCTTCATGAAGTCTTTGAAGCTGCTGGACCTTTGCAGAGTCAGCTATAAACACAGAACAGTTTCTAATGAGACTAATTAAAGTCACCATAAAGTACAGTATTCAGATTATAGACAGACAGATTATTGCCATGATTCCTGACCCAACTGGACTTATGGTTGAATGCAGAGTCATCCAGCATTATGCTGATGTAATTTAATCTCTATGCATCATGAACAAATCCAGTTTGCTTTAACTGATAGCTCATGTTATAATGGCCATTAAATGTTATTGGAATTCCACAAGCATATATCCTGATCAATATTTGGAGGCATTATCGGGCCTTTAGAGTAACATTTGAGCTGAAGAATCCACATTATCCTTTTCAGATCCATTGACCAGATGAAATTATAAGAATTGATAACACTTGCTTCAACTCATGAGTGTTTTGTAGGGTGGAAAAACCTTTGAACTGTTCACGAAAAATAAGCTTTCATAGGTTTTCACAGATAGGAAAATGTGTCTGGTGACACTTTGTCAATGTAACATCTCAATGTAATTTATTACAACAGTAATAACTGTCATAAATCAGTCTAATCTTTCTACTACAAAGGGCCAAAAATTCGGTTTTATTCTGTTATGGTACAGTGGGCCAAATCAAAGTCATAATGAACTAACTTTGGCCTGGTTTGTGCACCGCTGATCTATATGATAAAGTAATTCCCTTTTATGGGATGCTCATTTGTATTATTAATACTGATGCATTTAAACTTTAAAATACACTGTATTGCAAAGTGTGGCTTGAAGCAGAGTAGTTTCATTCAAGAATAAGACTTTTTTTTAAATTAATGCTTGTCATTCAGTGTGGGTTGTGTGGGCTGTTGTGCATCTTTGTTCCAATTTGACGTTTTTCTCTTATCACAACCTTTCACTGTGCCACTTTACTTTAGCACAGGAAGTGGGTATGTCACAGTCAACATTCAGCCAATCCCTGCAGAGCTGTGCACTATCTAGCCAACACACGACATACTGCAATCTGCTAAGCCAACTAAATGCAGAGAGATTGTTCAGCCGGTAAATACTGGTAAAATGACCTGCTGTCAAACTATCATTGCACAAACCTTCCCTATAAATTTCCCCCAACACAGTGACAACATTCTGCATCATAATGAGATGTTGAAATATATTTTTGACAGATCTCGGCAGAAATGATTACTCATTATCTAAAGCATGACCAAAGAGGAAACTGCAACATTTGAGATGATGTGGAAAAGTATTTTCATTTACACCATGGTAATGCATGTCAACTCTATGCTACATCCTGTGCTCTGGATAAGGCTATGAGATAGGCATTGGTTAAGACATAAATAAAAGACATCAAAATAACCATAATGCACAACAGCAAGATTATCAGATCTCGCTTTGCTTGGGTTCCGTGCATTTACAAAGCACCTGCAGTTTCACAGAGGAGAAATATCGAAACTGTTGGTTGTTCCACGCAAGATGTGAATCAAATGGAAAATAAGAGTAATGCTGTAGAAGCAGTTAACCACTGATTGAGAAGTGAAGCGGGCTGTGAAGACCTACGTAAACGTCACTTTGAATTGAGGAGCTGCGTTTGGATGCTTTGTTCTGATGAAGTATGAACTGCTTCAGGATGTGTGGTACGGTCTGCTGTCTCTCTACAGGAACTGCTGCACAACCATGCATTTAACCCAGAACAATAATAGAGTTTCAGTTCTTACAGGTCTGAAGTCAAACAGGACAAATTACAATAGGATTATTATTCATGTAGATGAATGAAAAACAATCAAAAAATCCACTCCAAGTACTGTTGATTGAACAGTTAGCAAATAAACCACATGTGTTCTGGCACAATGCATTTGTTTAATTTACCTTTTGCTTTTTAAACAGCATATTATGCGTGTTTGTGTTCCTTGAAGGAAACTTCCATCATTTCTACTCTTGCTTTAATTGTTCAAAACAGGGCCGCACATGCAGATTAATACACAAACTCCTACCTTCTTCTTTTGCACCTGGGGCTGCTCCTTTTCAGATGCGTTGGATGGTTTCCGTCGTAGCATCTTGATCCAGTAGTGGGTGGGCAATATTCTCCTGAGGACCACGACTATAGCTGTGGCAGTATGACTCTTGGCTGTGCTAAATTAACTGTCGGTCTTACTGCCACAGGGCCACTCACAGAGAGACAAAAGCCACCAGAGGAGGAAGAGGCAGAAGAAACGTTCTTCTCTGATCGCTGGAGTGGAGAACTAAACGCTTGAGGAAGTCACATGACTAGACAGGAACTTCTTTTTTTAAGAGGTGGTTTTGGTTGAAATGGTTCATATCAGATAAAAAAAACAAACCAGAGATAAAAAGATAAAATAAGACAACAACACAATTACCAGTTATTTATATATTCAGTGATACAGAACATTCTCAGCATGAAGATTTGTAATGGAGCTCAGATATGAGCATGAGGAATTATTATTATTATTATTATTTATTTTTTATTTCTTGAGATAAACAGTGAATTGAGTCTCTGACTCTAAATATTTAGAATATCTGATTTAGTTAAATATTCTTATATTTGTAAATCAAGTAACTTAATTTATACATATAGGCTAAATAAATAAATAAATGCTCAAGGCTGCATTTATTTGATCAAAAATACAGGGAAAAAAATTTAATATTGTGAAATATTATGATGTAAAATAACGTTTTTCTATTTTAATATACATTAAAATCGAATTTATTCCTGTGATACAAAGCTGAATTTTCAGTATCATTACTCCAGTCTTCAGTGTCACATGATCCTTCAGAAATCATTCTAATATGCTGATTTATTATCAGTGCTGGAAACTGTTGTGCTGCTTAATATTTTTTTTTGGAACCTGTGATACTTTTTTTTTCAGGATTCTTTGATGAATAAAAAGTTCAAAACAAAAGCATTTATTTAAAATAGAAATCTTTTCTAACAATATAGACTACCATTCAAAAGTTTGGGGTCAGTCAATTTTTATTACTTTTTTATTTTATTTTTTGAAAGAAATTAAAACTTTTATTCAGCAAGGATGTTAAATTGTTAAGAAGTGATAGCAAAAATTTGTATTGTTAGAAAACATTTATATTTTGAATAAATGCTGTTCTTTTGAACTTTTAATTCATCAAAGAATCCTGAAAAAAGTATCGCAGTTTCCAAAAAAATATTTGGCAGCACAACTGTTGCCAACATTGATCATTCTAATAATAAATCAGCATATTAGAATTATTTCTTAAGGATAATTTGACACTTTATACTGGAGTAATGGCTGATGGAAATTCAGCTTTACATCACAGAAATGAATTATATTTTAAAGAATATTAATATAGAAACCATTATTTTATATTGTAATAACATTTTGCAAGATTACAGTTTTTTCTGTATTTTTTATCAAATAAATGCAGCCTTGATGAGCATAAGAGACGTCTTTAAAAAAACATTACAAGTCTTACTGATCCCAAACTTTGGAGCGGTAGTGTATATTTTTGATATTTTAAAATATTACATTAAGTTGATCATTTAAGTTTTAATATCTGCAATTATTAGTCACAATAGGCCTATTTGTTTATTTGTAATACTAATGATTGTCAATTTTTTGTAGATTATTTGTTTATAACAAAAATAAAACATTAAATACAGCACAATTTTATATATAAATAACATTTTAACCACATACAGACAGAATATATATATATATATTAATGAATTATTTCTCTCTCTTTAATTATTATTATATCATATATTACCCATAACACATGGCAACTATCATTAACTATTATGATGCATCTAGCAACTGATTTGATAAAGTAAAAAAGTGTCCTGAGACCAAAGACTGACGTCTTTGCGTGTAAGTTTGCAGCCAGCTGGGATAAGACAATAGAGGAAGCGTGTGAGTTGCCAGAGTTATTTTTTATTTATTTTTTTAACACCACGTGGTAAGATGTCTGACAAAAATGAGCCTGTCATGAGTATGAAATATCTGAGCCAAAGAGGCCGGTGTTTACAACACATTTAAGCTGCCAGTAACATGTAGTACATGACTTTAGATGAGAACAGTATTTTGTGTTGTACAGCCAGCAGTCAAGCACAGTGACTACTTTAATGAGGTCATTGTTTTCAAAACCTCCTGTTGCGGCAGTTCCTCTTTATGTACGGTCACGCCATGCATAGAGCCTCGGCTAGCAAAGAAACTAATTACAAATATACAGTATCGCACCCATCAGTCCTGTTTTCGTGAAGATAAGGAACAATACTGAAAGTTGTTTTGAGCTGGAGGAGCCAAACAAAGAAGCGCAGAGAGAGAAAGAGCGAGTGAGCGGACGTCTCAGAAACCACACTCACACCTTACTGCGGTTCTGACGGAACTGTTGCCAAGCAACAGCAGCACCTCTGCAGGCATGAGAAATTCACATGCAGCAGTGCTACTGACAGCAGCTCGCTTCAGGCCTATTACAATAAAAGGGGAACGTAGAAGCTGCTTCTCAGAAAATGCTGTTAAGATGTGTGTCTGCTCTGATAGCTGTGTGAAAGATAGGATTCGCTTTCATGCTGTCATGTCAGTTTCAGTGCCCTAAACCATGCCCAGCTCTAAAAGCAACACACCCATGTGAAACAAACAAACGGCCATGACACGTTGTGCCAATATTTTAGAAAGGAGTGCTCATGAGTCATTTTTACAAGTAACAAAAAACGGGATCCGTGGATAGCTTGATTTATGTTTTTAAATGACTGCTGATGGTATTTAAATAAAATGATTACAATTGACATATTAATTCAGATAAATGTGAATTTGTGGCATTGATAAAAGATGAAGCAATGACAATGATATTTGGCTTTGGCTTAATGGAGAAATACCAACACGAGAATAAAAGGATATAGTAATGTTAGAAACATTAAAAATCTGCCAGCTGAATAAATGACTGATGACTACAAGATGATTTATGTCAAGTATTTAGCTCTAGTTTTGCAGTTCGGAGTTCAGTGGCTAATATTTTTGGATTCTGACATCCATATGTCCATGTCACATCAAAACTACAATGAGCCAGTCTCATTACTGAACATTATTGAAGTTGTTACCTCCACATAAAATGTTATAATAAAAAAATATTTTCAGCTGTTCTTTTTTTAAACATATTGCGCAGGTGATGCCAGGGGCATCGCTAAAGCCTTTTTACTGGGTCACGAGCCTCAGTGAAATATTGCTGTGCCCCAGAAAATATTACTGATAAATCCTTGTGTCAATGGGATTAATGTATACTGTCCAATCATTTTCTCTGATAATATTTCAGCAATTAAGTCGTATGTTTGTTCCATCCACTGTTTACAATCAGAACTAGTGATGCCAGATATGCAAATGAATCACTTTTTTGATCTAATTGTTCAAACAGATTTGTAAAAAGGTCTGAAGTGATTCGCGATTCATTTGATTTATTCAGACAGTTCACTCAACCACTGGGTCGTTTGCAGCGGTTTGGCACACCGCAACAGTAATGATTTAAAAGTCCGTTATTTCTATCTTTTGCTGTAGTATGTCTGTAGGAAATATGTGACCCTGGAACACAAAACCAATTTTTTGAAATTGAGATTTATACATCACCTGAAAGCAAGCTGAATAAATAAGCTTCCCATTGAAGTATGGTGTGTTATGATATGACAACATTTGGCCGAGATACAACTATTTGAAAATCTGGAATCTGAGAGTGCAAAAAAATCAATATACTGAGAAAATTGCCTTTAAAGTTGTCCAAATGAAGTTCTTAGCAATGCATATTACTAATCAAAAATTAAGTTTTGATATATTTACGGTAGGAAATTTACAAAATATCTTCATGGAACATGATCTTTACTTAATATCCTAATGATTTTTGGCATAAAGAAAAATCGATAATCTTGACCCATACAATGTTTTTTTGGCTGTTGCTACACACTAAAAAATGCTGGGTTAAAAAGGGACAAACCCAGCTATTGGGTTGTTTTGACCCAGCGGTTGGGTTGTTTTGAACCCAGCATTTTTTAGCAGATTAGAGATTGTACACATTTTGAGAGTGTACAAGTATACCCAAGCGATTTAAGACTGGTTTTGTGCTCCAGGGTCACATATCAGTTTACATTTCCAAACATTAATTTTGCCATTAATTGTAATAATCCAGTGAGATTTGTGTCTGACAACAGCCAGTGCTCCACACAGAGATCTGATCTCATCATCATCAGTCTGTCTGGAATGACATGAAGAAACAGAGCAAACTGAGACAGACTCAATCCAGAAAAACTGTGGCAACGTCTCCAAGATGCTTCAAGAAAAGTTAAGTATGAGATCTTAGAAAACAGAACACATAGGCTGCATCTTAAAGCTGAAAAATGCTGCCTACACAGGCAGGATAAGGAGGTACGAGGACATCAAGGCATCCAATGATCGTGTCACATCCTGTTTACTGAGATACTTTCATATGAGCGATTTTTGAAAGCAGCATAGAATGGAAATCACAGGTTTGTAGGTATATAGGCAATGAAGGATACATCTGTGACAGTTAAGCTTCCAGTGAGATTTGTGTCTGACAACAGCCAGTGCTCCACACAGAGATCTGATCTCATCATCATCAGTCTGTCTGGAATGACATGAAGAAACAGAGCAAACTGAGACAGACTCAATCCAGAAAAACTGTGGCAACGTCTCCAAGATGCTTCAAGAAAAGTTAAGTATGAGATCTTAGAAAACAGAACACATAGGCTGCATCTTAAAGCTGAAAAATGCTGCCTACACAGGCAGGATAAGGAGGTACGAGGACATCAAGGCATCCAATGATCGTGTCACATCCTGTTTACTGAGATACTTTCATATGAGCGATTTTTGAAATCAGCATAGATGTATCCTTCATTGCCTATATACCTACAAACCTGTGATTTCCATTCTGTGACAGTTAAGCTAAAAAAAAAATTAAAAAAATAAAAGCTGCGGTTGGTTTTAATGCAAGTTCTAGCGAGAAATTTGTATTACTGTAATAAAATATTATTACTGAAGTTCTCTGTATTTTCATGTGGATCATCAGACTGTTATTCTGCCTTAGAAGTCAGTTTGAAATCTGTTTTGTGAGGAAACTTTACATGCAAACGCTGCCTGCAAGTCATTGCCTCATTGCCTGCCTAAGCTTTTGGACGCAGTCATAGATAAACCAAAAGTAGTGGAGATACTGTAGTTATCTTACTTTAATAAACTATAAATAAACAATGATTGTCTTAAAATAATATATTCACACATTCACATGCAATGAATCATTTTTAAATCTTAATATTGTCTTTCTTAATTAAACCTACAACTTTGGTCATAAAATACATTATAATATACTAACAGTTGAAACATAGGACAAATCCTAATGAGGCATTATATCCACTCAAAATGACTTGTAAAAAATAACTGGATAAAAGAGAATAATTAAGAGAAAGAAAGAACACTGTATAATAGACAGCTTAATTTAAGTATGCAACATTGGAGCTTTTCTGTTTGTACCTGAAAGTGAGTTTGTCACCCCAGCCCACAATGGGAGCAGAGGCAGTACTGAACGCTGTGAAGTGGGTTACACTCTTCAGTGCTTGTTTTACAGCAGGTTATGCAGTAAAACAGAGGGCAGCACTGTTACTAGCAGTGTGATTGAGGAGATGACAGCTGAAGCTCCAGCTGTAAGGAAGGGTGCTGTATGCTTCATCATCCAGTCATACTCCTCCTTCAGCCCCTGCCTCTCCAGCTCGCGACCCACCACGCTCTGGATGGTCTCATAGTATTTGTTCAGCCAGTGCAGCTATAAGTCAACAACAAATAAAATGCTGTCAGTAAGGGATTTCTGTTTTGTCATAAATGAAAATAAGGCCATTTTCAGCTAACCCACAACCCCCCTCCCAAGACGTATTTCAAGTGAAGAGCGTCAGTGGGCACACTTTCAAAGGAAACCAACACTAGAAAATAACTTATATTTAAACACACTAAGCTGTGTCCCCTCAAAATAACTCAACACACAGCCATTAATGTCTAAACCGCTGGCCACAAAAGTGAGTACACCCCTAAGTGAAAATTTCCAAATTGGGCCCAATTAGCCATTTTCTCTCCCCGGTGTCATGTGACTCATTAGTGTTACAAGGTCTCAGGTGTGAATGGGGAGCAGGTGTGTTAAATTTGGTGTTATCGCTCTCACTCTCTCATACTGGTCACTGGAAGTTCAACATGGCACCTCATGGCAAAGAACTCTCTGAGGATCTGAAAAAAAGAATTGTTGCTCTACATAAAGATGGTGTAGGCTATAAGAAGATGGCCAAGACCCTGAAACTGAGCTGCAGCACGGTGGCCAAGACCATACAGCGGTTTAACAGGATAGGTTCCACTCAGAACAGGCCTCGCCATGGTTGACCAAAGTTGAGGTTGTGTTTGGGAAATAGACGTATGAGTGCTGCTAGCATTGCTGCAGAGGTTGAAGGGGTGGGGGGTCAGCCTGTCAGTGCTCAGACCATACACCGCACACTGCATCAAATTGGTAAGCATGGCTGTCGTCCCAGAAAGAAGCCTCTTCTAAAGATGATGCACAAGAAAGCCCGCAAACAGTTTGCTGAAGACAAGCAGACTAAGGACATGGATTACTAGAACCATGTCCTGTGGTCTGATGAGACCAAGATAAACTTATTTGGTTCAGATGGTGTCAAGCGTGTGTGGCAGCAACCAGGTGAGGAGTACAAAGACAACTGTGTCTTGCCTACAGTCAAGCATGGTGGTGAGAGTGTCATGGTCCGGGGCTGCATGAGTGCTGCCGGCACTGGGGAGCTACAGTTCATTGAGGGAACCATGAATGCCAACATGCACTGTGACATACTGAAGCAGAGCATGATCCCGTCCCTTCGGAGACTGGGCCACAGGGCAGTATACCAACATGATAACGACCCCAAACACACTTCCAAGACGACCATTGCCTTGCTAAAGAAGCTGAGGGTAAAGGTGATGGATTGGCCAAGCATGTCTCCAGACCTAAAC